ATATATATATATATATATATATATATATATATATGTGTGTGTGTGTGTGTGTGTGTGTGTGTGTATGTGTGTGTGTGTGTGTGTGGAGAGAGAGGTTCTAACGAGAACCTCCTGTTTTACGAAGATGCAAGAACATTTATGAACCTCCAAATAAGTTAACACATAATAAAAATTAGGATAATGAAAATAAATTATTATTTATATACAATTTGTTGTTTTCTTAAATTTGTTTATTATCTCTTAAATGTTGCTACTATTGTCGCAGACTTTTTATGCTAATGCCTCCATTGTCGAAATGATGTGATAATATTTTGATAAATCTAAGACTTCTTATGATGTTATTTTGTTGTGATAATATTGTGATTATCAAAAACCAATGATTATCATGTCAGTGAGTATATTATATGATTTTGTTGTCATAATAATGTGATAATAATTTGATATAACGCGGTCGGTGAGTGTATTTTCTGCAAATGATTTTAAGGATAAGAAAGTCAACAAGATTATAGATAAATATGAAATTACATGACTATCCTTAATTATTTACCTTATTTTCTTTTAGTTTTTAATTATGGATTAAATTATTTAGAGGCTCAAAAATGTTCTCGGATTTTAGTAAAACCGAGGTGTTCTCGTTTGAACCCCTCCCTAATCATGTGATTCATACAAACCTAATCTCGACAATTGATTTTGTTTATTTTGAAATTTAGATGCGGTTATAAAATGCGATTGAGAGTAAATTTAGGAACTGAATTGATCCATACCGTTGATTATCTACATGTATTGTTGAAATTGATTTGTAAAGTTTGTATGAGTTACGTGATTTTTAAAATAAACCTCCCTACATATATAGGGTTAGGTTCAAGAGAAAACCATAAAAAATAAAAAAAATAATGAATTATTTGGTTACCATTCATCTGGACACATGTGCATGAAAGTAACTTGTAAGCAATTTATTCAGTATGTTGACCAAAATGAGGATCCCAAATTGCATGAGCAATATGTCTTACATGTAAGGGCACACGTGCATATAAACCAAGAAACATTATCATTTACTTGTATACATAAGTGCATATCGTACATATGAATGATTATCAAAGTGTTTTTCAGTTTTTGATTTTTTAATTTTAAGGTTTTCAGTGCACCTCCATATATATATATATATATATATATATATATATA